ACCACGTTTCAATCGACCACGTACAACAAGTGCATAATATGCTGTTGAATAAACAACTGGAATTGTTGCTGCTTGTTCAAGTGTCCAATTATCAGGTACATACCATGAATAACGTTTATCAATTGCAACTTTTGTAGCAAGACCTATAAGAAAAAAGAGAAAAAGGCTTTTATTTTTATAAATAATGAATATCTCGAATTTTACCTTTAGCTGATAAAAGACCCATAATTCGTTGACCAGATGAATCCAAACCAGAAAATTCAAGACCCAATAAACAACCTTGCATTTTTAAGTAACCTATAACAGAAAAGAATTATTTTTCAACTAAATTCAATACTGTTCAACTTACCTGGTATTGCTTCCGAACTTAATTTTCCTGTAGCTAAAAAAAAAAGAGAAACTTCGTAACTGAATATTTTATGTAAAAAGCTGTCTATTTTGAGATACATTTCTTCATCCTTCTTTTAATTAATCTTCCAGATCTTTGGCCAGCATCTGTCATGGTCTATGGGGGAGAAGAGGTACAAATTTCTATCCCAAAGACTTCAATATTTCTTTGAAATCGTATTTTACAAAATAATTTTACCTAACATAATATCTCGAAAATTAAGTGATGCATAATGTACAGTACATGTATCAGAATTAGGATCATTTATATTGTTAGTCGTTATTATAGGCGATTGTAACCATGTAAGTGATGATAAATCACCACGATTTAATACATTAACATGAGCATTATCTGTTTCAGTCCATGCTGAATCTATACATAAGAAACAAAAGAATAGTTTAAATAATCATTTTTCTATTTAATATTTCTATACCTTTCGATGTTTGTAAATGTTGATGAATATACGATCCCCATACACCATTTTGATAGATATTAACAGCTAAATCTCTTGTTTTTAATATATTTAATATGTTTTCATTGAGAATATATTCAGAATCTTGAATATGAATACATCTATAAGTAAATACAAATTTTTATTATTCATAGATTAATAAATAAATTATTTTACCGAAGTGATTGTCCACCTGGTTCACGTCTTAAACAATTAAAAAATCCAATAATACCATTATCTATTTGATTAGATATAAGCCAAATACGTTGTGATGAAGAATTCAATAATAATGTTTTAATTTGTTCAATCCATTGAAAATTCTTATTATCTATATTAACAATAATATCTGTAAGATTTTCGTTCGATAATTTTTTCCATAATTGATAATTTTTTCTTGTTACTATTTGAATAAAATTATTAATTTGTAATTGTTCTCTAGGTATGATAATATCTGATGAAAAAAGTATAAAACCATTTAATTTACATATAGAAAATAATTTTTCCCAATCATATGTATTAGTTTCAATTTTATTAACAATAACTAAATCAACTGTTGTTGTTGTTAAAGATAAATTTTCAATTAAATTAATTTTTTTATTTATTTCATCAATTGATAATGATGTAATAAGTGTATAATCAAGTGATTTAATAGATGGTTGTTGTGAATAAAAAT